TCGAAGATAAACAAAGGAAGAAACAAATAAATGAATAAATAAATAAATATATAAAAATAAGATATATATATATATAAATATATATTATATATATACACACGCATACATTTTAAAAGCGTATTTAAATATACATTCCTATACATATACACGTGTACAGGTATTTTGTTAAGCTCTCGCCGTAATCTTTGATACCGAACGTTCGTCTTTCTGCGTGAGAAGAAAAAAATCTGTTGTTTTTTTTCTTTTGTCTTTTCTCCCGACGAATAATATAAAAATTATATGTAAACAAAAGTTACACAAGGATAATAGAAAGAGGGAAAAAGATAATGAAGGTATCGTTGACACGGCGGAAATAAAAAGAAGAAGAATAAGAAGAGAAAAATAGATAATATATATAAATATAAATAAGAAAGAGAAAAAAAAATTTGGCAAAAGATTAAAAATAAAATTCGTCGAGTATAAGGAGAAAAGGTAGGGAAACAGCAAAGATGTCAACGATGAGCGTCGTGTCGAATTCATCCGTCGAAGTTGACTCGGACTCATCTAACGATCTCTCGAGCAAGGACGAACCACCAACCGAGCAAAAGTTTATCTTAAGAAACGAGCTCTACAACAGTTTATTAGCTAGCGCGCTCGGTAAAACGGTGCTAAATAGGCATCTCAATTTCAAGGAACAAGGTATCAATTTTAATTTGGCCAATCTTAAGGACAACTTGAACGCTCTTGGTGCACTTAAAGATTTGAAGGATTTGAAGGGACTCACCGTTAGTAGCGTACCCGCCTTCCCGAGAAATCTCGCCCTGCATCGGGAAGATCACGACGAGGTTAGCTATTATTATCTATTATACTTCATTCGACGTCTATTATTAATCGTCGATATTTTCTTCTTTTTCACTTTTGTTTGTATTTAAACAAAAATAAATATCGTGAAATAAATTGTATCATACAATTAGTTAACTCGATCGAAATCCATTATCGTATAACACGTGTACGGAGTGTCCCGATTTAACTATTTTTATTCGCAACATATTTTTAACGATGTCATTTAAGAGCTCACGTTTGGATAACTTTTTTCTATTTTTTTTCCTTACTTTTACTTATAGAAGAATATAGTAATAGTAGTAGTAGTAACATTTTGTTGAGGAGGAAAAAGAAAAACACGGGACACCCTGTACATTAAATCGATGTGTTCATATTCACACGAATGTAAATACATACGTACATCGGATATATTCGTATACTTACGTGTACGCGTATAAGTATATAACGGGTTCGATATATATATAGGCATGTACACATATGTACATATATATATGCATTCCCTTTTTCGTAAGGGCAATCATATAGACGTTGGGAAAGAAGGGAAACGTTTCAAGACGATGCGCGGGAGAGTGCTTCTGCTTTCAATCGCGTGCTTCGCGAGTTTGACCCAGATTCGAATAGAACTTTCGGTCCATCCGATTTCGATTCCTATTCTTTCTATTCTAACATTTTTTCTTTTTTTTCTTTCCTATCTCATATTTAAAGAACGCAATATTTTTTCTTCTCTCTATTTTGACGATTCGATTTGTTGTTGTTGTATATTTTCCTTTCTTACTTACTTTTTATTTTCCTTCAATTTTTCCTACAACGAGATTGTGTCGAAATAAAATAGGGATGAAGGAATTGTAAAGGGCCAACGGGTAAAAAGAAAATTCAGCTCAAATGGTTTAGCAAAATGAAGTTAAGGACGAGTTGACGCGTATACGTTGTCGATTAAAAAGTTTAAGGGGGAGGAGTGGTGGTTAGTGCGGCGACGAGTTTTTCCGAGTAACGAGACCATAAAGGAGAACATTACGAAAAAAAGAAAAGAAAATAAAACAAACAGCCCTCCCTCCCCGAAAAGGAATGAAAGATTTTATAAATTTCGTTTAACTATCGGAAATCATGTTTTTTTTCTTTCGCAATTATTTTCTTTTCCTTTTTGTTTTGAAAACTATTTCAAATTGACCATTCTCTTGGATATAATTTTATCTCTCTTCAAATTATTATTATTATTATTATTATTATATCGTGGATTACTTATATATAATTATGTCATTTTTAATCCATCATAATTATTTTAAAATGACGTATTTTATTTTCTAGACAACATATCTAAATATAAAATTGAAAGATAATAAAAGACAAATTCCGAATATATCCTTGTGTGTTTTCTTACATTCAATTTCATATTAAATGGAAGTTTTATTTCGTTAAGCATTGACGAACGATATTTAAACGTCAAACACGTCACCTTCCTGTTACTCCATTTTCCCTTTTTTTCTCTCCCCCCTCCTCCCCGAAGCTTTTAAGAAAAAGAATATTCTTGGCGAGATCGCATTTTTGGATCTGCTAGGATGATCGTACAAATTTATGACGCACCCTATGACGACACGTGAATGGGTTGAAAAGTTGTAAACCTAATGTAGAAACAATTTTTCTTGGTCAAACTCACTTTTTATCGAAACAAAGAAAAAGGAATAAAAGTTTTTGGTCGAAGCTCAAAACTTTTCAACCCATCGTCGTATCTTAAAACACTAAACACCGAATTTGTCCGAGCAATATTTATAAAATTATTATATCGAACGATATATATTTATTTAAATCATTAAGTAAAAGCAAATAACGGAAGGATAAATTAAAAAAAAAAAAAAGATTCGCAATAGATGATCGAAAGAATTTCGGAAATAACAACACGTCTGTGAAATATACAAATCTGTGTTTCGCGAGAAAAAGATACGGTTTATAAACGGCACTGTCGATCGTTTAGGAACGTTATTTATTTAAAGAAAGGACTGTTTTACTCTTGTTACCCTTACCTCCTGACATTTCTGTGCCAGTAAACGACGTTATCGATAATAAAACGGTGTAAGCGGAGCGAAAGGACAGCTTCGTGTCGAGCGAGTAAGCAAGCAAGCAACTAAGCAAGTATTCAAGCAAGCAACCAAGCAACCAAGTAAAAAAGAGAAGGAGAGTGTGAGAGAGTAAGAGAGAGGAAGGGAGGGAGAAGGGAGAGGGACAGAAATTGCAGGGACCAAGGGCGTTTCGCGCCTTTGGGAGCGTGTAATTAAGTACCGGCTGGTAATAATGAAACGCATCATCCCCTACGCGTGGAGCTCGTCCGAGGAATAACACCCTTGCTTATAGTAAAAGCCCACGAGAGAAAAAGAGTAAAGAAAGAAAGAAAGAGAAAAGAGAGAGAGAGAGAGAGAGAAAGAGAGAGAGAGAGAGAGAGAGAGAGAGAGTGTGTGGAAGAGAACGAAAGAGGCGGGGTTGGTTTCCTTCGGGGGTTTGCGATAATCGGTGCAACGATTTATAACGAGCTTTCTCACGATTCGTGCTGGGCGAGCAATTAACAAGTAAATCTGCGTGGCTGCTAATTAAATCCGTCCAATTAATCGACCTTGTTGAAGAAACGAATGATCAAACGCGTGTTACGAATGGAAAGTGGAGAGAGAGAGAGAGAGAGAGAGAAAGGTAAAAAGGGTTTGATGGTAAGAGTTGTAAGGTAAAAGGAATGATGAGGGTGGAGGAGGAGGAGGAAAGAGAGAGAACGATGGAGGACAAACGAAGAAAAGAAAGAAAAATAATTTAAAAAAAAAAGAAAAAGAAGAATATTTTTTATTTTTTCGTTTGTGTGTGGTGGGCTCAGCGGTTTTCATTTTTTTGATTTCTTTTTCTTTTTTACGTTCCGACGACGTATCGATTGCCCATCGTTGCCTCCCTAACGTTTTCTCCACTTTCTATGGTCCTATGAATTCTTTATGCATTTCACGTAGGATCGATGACTGCTTGCTTGGATTGTAACTACTAATCTCTTTCTTTCTCTTTCTCTTTCTCTCCCTCTCTCTCTCGTCATAGTAATTATATACTTTGTTGAAAGGGTGGTACGTTCGGTTAGGGAGGGTAAATTGGACGAATAATATGGTAACAAAAAAAGGTTTACCGTTCGAAAAGTATTTCGGTGAGAGTCCTTTTCTTTTCCATCAATCTCATATTCCGTTTCGTTTGATTTTCTTTCACCCCGATTCGCGTAATATTTTTTTAATCATTCGGAGATATCAATGCGTGCAGTCTGATCGACACAGCAATTGAAATTCTTTCCTTTTCTTTTTGCTTGATAAATATTCTTATTGATTAAAAAAAAAAAAAACAAGAAAAAAAGAATAAAACTTTCATTACTATTACATATTGTATTCTGATCAACGTTTTTGTTTCATGTCTATTTCTATCGGATAAAATATGCTTTATTATTCATATTTCATTCTGATCGATATAGAAATTTAGAGAGAAAGAGAGAGAGAAATCTTTTTCTTTCACAAGGATCTCTTGTTAGATGAGATCCTTTATTATTTATGCTCCATTCTGATTGACATCAAAACTTCGATTATTTCTTTTTTTATATTATTTTATTCTTATTAGACGAAAATAAAGATGTTTAATTATTAACGTATCATTCCGATTGACACAGAATCTTAGATGAATATTTTCCTCGGTAATATATTCTTAGTGGATAAAACGTTTTATTATTTACATTTCATTCCGACCGACGTAGAAATTTAGACTCTTGTCTTATTTTTGCATCGGGGTTTCTATTTTTTTTTTCTTTTTTCCCATACTAGAATATTTCTGACAAAGTGTATTTTCATCGTTGAATATTTAAATCTCGCAAGAAAGGCTTATTTGAATGAGAAAAAGCAAAATGTATACTATTCCGGGGAATATAATAAAGTATTATACAAAAAAATGGGAAAGGAAAATAAATATAACTTTTTCTTTCGCAATCGGATAAAAAAGCAAATAATTTCTAAAGTATCATACCAGCTAGAGAGAGTAGTAAGATAAGTATCATAATAATCGAATTCGATCAGAATGATCCTAACGCGTGTTTTCTCCTGTTGCTTTCAGAAAGCGTCGTTCGCGTGGTCGGAAGGAGGCGAGGATGGTGGGGGCGGTGGCGGTGGAGGAGGAGGTGGAGGTGGAGCAGGTGGTGGGGGTACCGGAAGCGGAGGAACGGGCCCCGCGGCAGCCGGGGGTGGTGGCCTGGCCCACTGGGTCAGCGTGATGGCGGAACACATTCATAATCCGCATTCCGCAAGCGGAGTGGCCGGTATTCATCATCAACAACAGTCACCACCTCAGCCACCTTACCCATGGAACAATGGTCTCTCAACTGACGTAAGTTGCTTCTTACCGGTTAGTTCCTTTTTCTATTTATTTATTTTTTTTTTCTTTTTTCACGAAGCATGTGCTTTTTATTATTTACTCGAGAGAAGAACAGAAAAGAAAAAAAATAGAAAACTGTTAAATTAAATATGGCCGGAAGAGAACGTCGTCGTCGTCGTTCGGATGAATCGAATAGTGGAAATAAGTGCGATAGAAAGGAGAGAAAAGCTGGACAGAAAAAGATAGAAAGAGAAAGATAGATAGATAGATAGATAGATAGATAGAGAGAGAGAGACAGGAAGAGAATGAAGCTTTCTTTCCTTCTTCCTATTTTTTGCACGGCATCCACGAGCGAAACGAGTTGTACTACCCCTGTTTTGATTTTGTTTTTTTCCTTTCCTCCGCTCGTTCCAATCCCCCTACTCTCTCTCTCTGGCCCTCTGCGCTGTCTCCGGGCGAGAGTCCTGCATAATTTAGACGAGGCTGGATTAGAGGACGACAGAGACACGGACGAAACTTTGAACGGAAGAGAGACTGTGCATGTGTGTGTGAGAGAGATAGAAAGAGAGAGAGAGAGAAACCGAGGGAAACAAAGGTAGAAAAGGAGGAGGGTGAAAAGAGAGACACGCGTAAAGAGACAGAAGGAAAAAAGGGACAGTGGATGGAAGAAGGGCGTCAAAAAGGGTTGAAGATCGCTTTGCATAGCGCACCGTTCTTTCGCCTCGCTCTGCCTCGAGGTTGGTATATATGTAAAAAAAAAAAAAAACCCGTAAAAGAAAAAAGAGAGGGAAAAGAAAGAAAGAAAAGAGAAAAAAAAAACAAATAGACGGAAGCGCGAAAAAAGAGTCGGGAGTGTTACGGCGAAGTAAAAAAGTTTATGTGCGCGCGAGTGAAGATGAGATAGAACGGGCTAAAGAGGGAAAAGAGGGAGACAGAGAGAGAGAGAGAGTGAGAGGGATCGTTTGTGCAGATATTCGTCGGTTTGCAACGTTTCTTCCATCGACTGTGCTGAGATTTTGCTTTTCTGCAACCTCCCTCCCCGTTTTATCTTTTTTATTTTTTTTTATTCTCTTTCGATGACGTTATCGATGCACGACGATTTTTTTCTTCGATAAAAAAGCATTCGGTCTTTCGATTTTGTTTTTGTCGAAAAACGATTATCATCTTAGCTCCCCTCCCGCCCTTAATTTCATCCGAATCGATAATAATGGTACACCGTTAGAATACAGGGAAAATAGTATAATATAATACCATTTAAGTATTGTGGCCGAAATCGTGCGTGTTTGATATTATTTGAATGCGAATGGGATCACCACAACGGGATTCTTGAGAAACATTCATCGTGTAGTAGAACCTGCAGTAGTTAAAAGAAGGATCTGTGTGTTGCGTACCTGTCTATCCGTCTTTTTCTTTTTCTTTTTATTCTCTTAATCTTTCTCATTTTGTCCCTACCACCGTTTCTTTGGGCCTCTCGAGGAAGCMCCCTGCTTTTCTCTTTTTTTTTTGTCCGTCACGGGGTCGGCAGGCGTCCTGGCTAGGCTATGCAAAGAAACCTATGAGATTTTCTTACTGAGGCCTTCTGGAAAAAACAAGGAGCCACGACAATACGAGCCGGGGGATGATTTAAATAATCCGCGGCATGCAAATGAACGGAAGATTCTCACGGGGCAGCCCGTAAAGTACCGTAGCGTCGTACCATAGCATACCGGTGCTGCTGTTGCCGCCGGAATGAGAAAGAGAAAGGTTTTCCTTCGAAGACAATCGAGCAATCTGCATAGACCGCATACGGGCATCAAGATGAGTCCTAGGTACGAAAGAAAAGAAATAAATAAAAAAGTGATAGAAATATTCATTCTCATTTGGGGATGACGGCCCCGTTTGTCCCGTTCCCCCTCCCTCCCTCGGTTGAATCATCGACGTTTTTCAACCCTCCTTATCGCTCATCCCGCTTGGAAAAAAAGAAAACATCTCGTGGCTTTGGTCTACGAACGAAAACACATTAAAAACCTTTTTAAACCTCTTTTCCGTTTTTAAATCTACGACGAATATCTCTCGAGTTCGAGCTTTCGTTATTCATTTTTTTAATGATTTTAGTTTGTTTTGTTCTTAAAAAAAAACTGGCATACCTTCGAACGACGATCGTATCGATCACGTTTGCCCGTAACCCTTCGCCGTTGTTTTTTCTTTTCAACTAAAAACAATCCTTAGCGAATTTGATGTTGCATTATTCTTTCGGAAGCTGCATCGTGAATCGAACTAGCAAAACCGTATGCTCCATTTAACATTGAAATATCCGTCAACGACGCGTAAGAAATCCTCATCTATGGGAGATTGAGAAACAGGCAAGAGAGATAGCTGAAGATAGGGGTTGTGAATCGAGAAAAGAAAGAGAAAAGAAGTAGGGCAGGAGAGCCGAATAAATCGAGAGAGGCTGCTGAGCTTTTGAAGCCTGTAAACACGTATTCCGAGCTTGTAATCTGTCGACGCTTTCGCCCAGCGGGTGGTCAACCCTTTTTTTTTTTTCCTTAGGCTGCCTTTACGCCTGCCCGATCGTAATCCCTTAAAACGCTTAGAGCAACTCTTTAGGGTAATTTTTGCTCGGGGTAGCAGCAACGTTTTATCTTCTTCTTCCTCTTCCTGCAGTATCATCCCCCCCCCACCCTTTCGAGCCAAACACCCCAGCCCGTTTCTTTTCCACCTTTGCTCGTTTTTTTTTATTCGCCGAGATGCAAAATATCTTTTGGCTATTCTTCTTCTTCTTCTTCTTCTTCTTCTTCTTCTTCTTCTCGAACGGGTGTAACTGGAATCATTCCTTTCTCTATTCCGTGAGAGTCCTTGGCCTTTGGGTGGTGAAAAAACCACCCTTGACGCAGATTATGTAAAAGAAGAATATCTCCCTTTCTCTCTCTCTCTCTCACTTTTACACGACGACTTGCTCGCTCATCCCTTCGCCACGGTAGGAGAAAATTAAAATAATGGCTCACGGTAGACCTGACCCCTCTTAGCCACTTTTTTTTTCTACTCATTCTTTTTATTCTCTCTCTCTCTCTCTCTCTCTCTCTCTCTCTCTCTCTCTCTCTCTCTNCTCTCTCTCTCTCTCTCTCTCTCTCTCTCTCTCTCTCTCTCTCTCTCTTCACCTCTTTCCGATGGACTCCTTTTTTTTCCTACTATCCCTCGCTGCTTCTAGTACCGCCCGAGACGAGAATGCAAATCTCGCGCAACGGCATTTTTGTCTCTGAGCTACGTGAGACAAAAAATGAAGTAAAGGTTTTAGGGAGAGAGAGAGATAGGCGTTCGGTTCATTGTCTCGTTTCGACTACCCGTTACTACCAGAGAAATAGCAAAAAAAAATTCTAGCGAATGGGGAAGCTAGTCGCGCTAGTTAAGAGGGTTGCCATTTCTTTTTTTTCTATTTTTTTTTGTTACTTTGCCTTTCGAATATCATCTATGGATCGTATAGGTTAATGAATTTTTTCTTTTTTTTTTTTTTCCTTCCTTCTTTCTTCCTTACCAACGTATCTCGCCGAAAAAGAGTTGAAAGGGTTGAAATCTCGTTGCCTGCTTATTTCTTTTTTTGTTGTCTGTTCTTTTTCATTTTCTTTCCTCCCCCTTTTTTTGCTTCTCAAAGTCGGAACGGTTACACTTTTTTTTCCTTTTTCCGTTTTTTTGCTTTAGAAATTTTCTATCTCGTTATGTTCAAACGTTTCGCGTATAATGCATTACGTGTACTCGCATATTTACGAATGGTCTGGGATATTATAATGAAATTATACGTTAGGCATTGATATGCGTGATAGATGTTGAAACATATACTGGGGTTGGTATGCAGACCAAAAAAACTTGCTAACCTAATCGCGATACGCGATTATTCGATCCCTCTATTCTTACAACGTGCGTGGTAACACTCGTGTTAACATCAACATCAAGAACTTATTCTTTTTTTTTATTCTATTAGTTTTTTTCAAATACAAGATTATAATTTAATAGTAATTCATAAAAAAAATATTGAAAAAATTAACGAATAAGAAGGAAAATGTAATTCGTTATCGATTTGAAATTAATTCAATTTCAAAAGAAAAATAGTTCAATATAATTCTATAATATACAACATAAAAAATAAATCTTCGTTAATAATCGAAAGAGATTTGATTGAATTGTATTCGTGCAATCGAAAACAATATAAGTTTCGCGTTTGAGTAACGAGCACGTTCCGGCCCTTTTTCGGCAACGTTGTCACAACATTTGGACCCAAGACAGAGTTATGGGACCCTTTCCTATGAAATTTTCGACCAGACTAACCCTTTCTTAGGTGCATTCGTTGCCGCCTCATCGTCGTTCATCGCGTTCATCGTCACCCCCTGTTCATTCAGCTGGAAAATATCTCTGGCCGATATTTCTATTCTCTCTTTCTCCCTTTTCTTTTTTCAACATCCTCGAGAAGAACAAAAAATTATTATCCCGAGAAGGTGCAACCAGTCAACGAGCGAAAACATTTTTTACAAACTAAATTTATGAAGTTAACATTATTGATTTATTTCGCACATAAATTAGCCTATGTCATGTCGAAAACATTTGATCGTTTAATTTCCTCCAAAATTATTGTCAATTCTCCAACTAACACTTTTGACAAGATTTGAAATTATTTTCAACTCGATGTAACTATACGAAATTATAGAAAAATTTATTGAAATAGACTTTCACAAATGTAATATTAAAATAATTAAATTGGATCTATCGCATATAAAAATACCACAATATTCGAAGAAGAAGAAGAAGACATTTTTAACCCAAGATTACCCTCATTGCAATACTAATTGGCATAAACGAAAAATAACGGTCTCCGGTCTTGTAAGTTTCTTTTAGGTTAGACGAAAGTCAGGGTGTCTCACGTTCGAGACGTGACCGAGCGTAATTTATCCCGCGAGCGTCGTACCGTTAGCGCCCAAAAAAAAAAAAAAAGGAAAAAGGAAGCAAAAAAAGAATCCTATCCGTTTCCTTCCAATAAGAAAAAG